GAATCCAGCAGTTGTCTTTGCTCTTGATGGCTGACAGCTCCTAACAAGGAATTTAACTAGAGATCTGAATGCATAACTTGAGCATATCAGGTTTTAACACCCTAGATATACCTTAGCAGACCTGATTTAACAGGTAGAAACACGGCCTTTTAGTGGAAGCTCTGTCTGGACAGAGGTTGTTCTGTGCCTAAGACTGTATTGCACAAGTGTTGAAATACACAAATCCAAACACTGGAAATAAATTGCTTGTGTTACTGCCCAGCAAACACAGAGAGAAGACGGATGTTTGTGTTACAGAGTGTGTTGCTCTACATCTTCAGGATTGTTTCTGCAGTTGCTGTGAAGCTGCTAATGCATCATCATCAGTGTGACAGCCTGCAGCTTGGGTTGGCAGCGATATTAGAAATTAGTTATGTGTTCTAACATCGTTCTTCTCTCTTTTTCTTCCTACGTAAATGTGGAATCTGGAGAAGGGAGGAACATAGGGCACCGGTATAAGATTTTCCCTGTTATTGGTTTCCTAGAGATTGCTTTAGTCTTTACAGCTGCTAAAAACTTTTTCTACATCTATGTCAAGAAAGTGATCACACTATTCTGAATATTAAAAATTTATCTTACAGAAGTTGCATTATTTTCTGATAAAAATCCCTAATATACTTTCCTGATGGGCAACTGAGGTGTGATAAGCAAAATGTATCATAAGGGCAGTAGAAAAGGGTGGAAAAACAAATGTCTGGTGATTTTAACTGTAAGAAGAACAAAACGAAAAGAAGAAAAAAATTACCTATCTCAGGACAAAATGACTCAAAGATGATAATAATGGAACAAATACTACTACTAAGAGGCATGGTCATGCCTACCTGAAGATAGAAAGCACATACCGACACAGTGCTACCTCATTTATGGTTTCTGTCAATGTGTTTTGAATGTCATTAGTATCTTCTTTCCCATGCCATTTTAAGCACTGTGGTTGAATATAGTTAGGGGAGTAGTAGTCTGCTGACATTTCTGACAATCTCAGGTGAGCACCAGTTAAACACTTGTCAGAATATTACATGGCATCCAAACACTGGGGTGTTTTCCCAGGATTTTAATCTGTACTTGTTTGTATTCTGCATACCTAAAGACATTCACAGAGCTGTAGATAGCCTGGATGCTTTCACAGTACTCTATTAGAAAATCACACCTTATTTGCCAGCTGTGTTTCAGCAAACAACCAATCTTTGCTAAAATTATGAAGTAAATGAACAGTGAGCAGAATTAGAGATGATCCTGAGGGTCAAAAAGAAGCATGAAAATAAAATGCATTGACAGAATGAGCTAGAATGGGAATGCTGCAGTCCAGCTTTCCTATAATGCTGGCCTGGAGCAAAAGCAGAACAAAAGCAGAGTAAAAGACGCTGAGGTTGGGGTTTTTGTTTGATTTTTTTTTAAGTCTGTTTTAACAGATTATACTGCATTTCTTGACTTTATCAGAGACTTAGAGCAGAGGGTGAGATTACTTAAATACTCCACTGAGTAGTTCAATGTCAAAAGTGTTGCTCTGCTGTAAAAGCAATAATAAAAAGGAGACATGATTTGTGAGATGAAAGTGAGAGAACTCCTTTGTCTTTTTGATACTGTGCATATATAATAGTAGAATGGAAAATCCTCAGTTCCAGTGCAGAAATCTATATGCCTTGCAACCACTAGATTAAAAAATAAAAACCAAAAAACCTCAAACAAATGAACAAAAAAAAAACAAACAAAAAAACCCCCACGAACCTCCCCAACCAACTAATCAAAACTATATATAAAATTATACATGATCTACTGAGAAGTACCAGTGTGCCCAGTTTGTGTGTATGCAATATCCTTTGTGTGGTTATGTTCTTGGCCAACCATGAAGAACAGTAACTGTGTGTGTTCCACAGATTTTCATAGCATTGCACAGTAATTGAGTTCGGAAGGGGCCTTTGGAGGTCATGTGGTCAACCTCCTTGCTCAAAGCAGGGCCAACTTTGCAGTTAAATCCACTTTTGAGTGAATTCTGAGTGTTTACCAGGCTGGAGATTTGGCAGCCTCTCTAGGCAACCTGCTCCAGCACATGATAATCCTCACAGTTAAACTTCTGTTCTTTGTGTCAAATAGGAATTTCCTTTGGTACAACCTATATTAATTGCCTTTTTTCTGAGTAATATTTGGGATGAGTCTGGCTCTGTCTTCTCTCCAGCTACTACTTAAGTGGCTGAAGATGGCAATTAGATCCCTGCATCTCTTCCAGCTAAATGAACTGAATTCCCTCAGGTACTCATGTGCTTGAGAACTGTACTTGTTTTGGTGAACCTTTGTTGAACTCACTCCAGTTTGTCACTGTTTTTCTTGTACTGGGGAGCTCAGAAGTAGATACACTAGTCCATTTTTTCCAGTGACCTGTGCTGAAATTTCCATTTAACTCGAAAAGAGCTCAAAAAATTTTTCTGAATTTCCAACATATAAAAGGTGTATGCTGTTGATATATTATCTGCCAGTAGGATTTATAAACTGAAAGAGACTGGTTGATGGTCAGAGCTAAAAATGTTCTACCTACTTAGTTGAAGATAAAGTCAGGAAACTGAATGAAAACATGTGGTTAAAGAAAAGTCATGTTGGTGGCAGGGCCACACTGCCTGAGTCAGACTGTATTCGTTCCAAATTTTCAAGTTACAGGTTGTTCTCAAAAACACATCTATTACAAGAAGTTTGTATGGAGGAAAGTCTAAATTATTCTCCTTGTAGGAGGATATAGTCATGCCCATGTGCTCACCTTTCAGAGTCATGCCTCATTGAATCTTTTGCTAGGAAGATGTTCTACCTGTTCTTTACCACTCTTCCATCTATACTGTGGCATTTCCATAACGAAGGCTGTCAGGTGGCTTTTGTTGCTCTCCAAATTTATTTAAAAGCGTCTTTCCAAGCCAATCTAGTGGCAACCTAAAACCAAAGTTGTTGACCTAATTAATGTAATGTCCACAGTGAAAAGTTTGAGCAAAAATAGAGCTAATGACCTCTTAAGATAGTGTCCACCTGTAAACTTCTGTCTAATCCCCTATTATCCCCTTGTCTTAAAAAAAAAAAAAAGAAAGAAAGAAAGAAACAAAATGCAAAACTGGAAGGAGTTTCAAGACAGTTCCTAAATTTGTTGTATCAAAATTTTGATAGAGATACTGAGTAAAATATAGAGAACTTCTAGAGGAATTATAACTACATTAGGAAAATTTGTAAGTAGAGTATCTCTCCAAAAAGCATGTTTTGGCTGTTGGGCATGGTAGCTCAAATGCTGATCATATCTGCCATACTCAAGTCTAACAACCATCTACTTGGTGTCCTTAGGAATACCTAAAGGATGATTAGTATGTGAATATCCTTGTACATTTTCTTCTGTGCAATTCAGTGGTAAGTCTTCTGCCAGAAAGCCCTTGAAAGAAAGGTTCATATTGGGAATCTCTTCACAGAGACTTTTGTTAAACTATCACTTATACAAGTGATTACACACCAGATACACTAATGTCCTTTTAGAATTCAGCTGACAACTGTGCAGTGCAGTGCTGGTGATGCTAGCTGGCTTCAGTCAGCCTTCCAGTGCACAATAAAGCACATGTGCATACCTAGGCACCTTTACACATTTGGAACATGTCCTATGTTTATAACATTGCCATCTGCTAGAAAAAAAAATAGTGCAACATTTTGGTCATTTTTGTGTTTCATAGACACAGCATGACTGACTAAACAGAGTATTGGGAGTTCAATAATATATTACCTTGGTTACCCAGAAAGTGCAAGTGCCTAGCTATATGTGCTAAACATCACAGCAAACCAATATCTGAGATGCCATTTGGAACATAAACAGTGTCATTTGCCCTGCCTCTCGAAATTTAAGTGTCTGTGAAAACATGCATTAAACAAATGCTTTCAGTTTCTTCTTTGTTCTTTGATCATTGAAGTAATGATGTAAATGGCTCTAGTAAACCACAGTATTGTGAAGACTGCACAGCAAATTCTCAGTGCCATTTGAATGAAGATTTTGGACTATGATTTGCTCTGTCTTTTGTATCTAGGAACACTAGGGACCAAATCCTCTGTGCTTCTTTATTTTACTGTTCCAGAATATATCAATTTTACAAGCTTAAATTCCCATACAGTGACAGCATGGGAGGCTTCCACATTTCTCATTAACACTGCTTTACACATTCCACATGTGTACAGAAGCATGAGTAAGTTTGGTATAAATACTAAGGATAGAATATTCTGGTCTGTGAAAGCATCTGAATACATAATAGGGGTTTACTGAAGTCAGCAAGAGTTAAATACATACTTAAGAGGTAACCAAGAAAATATTTGTCCTTGCTGAACTGGGAGTCCTGTGGTAAAAGGAATAGATTATACCCAACCCTCTGAGAGTATTTCTCCATGGTAAAACACTCCATGCTTTGAAGAAATAAGATGTAAGATATAACTGCAGTGCCTCACAAACTCCTTCTAAGGCATATATGTCTATCTTCAAAGCAAAAGCTATCCTCTTCAGATTTTAATGAGCTTACCAATGGCTGAAGTAGCAGAATGAGAAAAGAAGAAAAAGACTGACCTTACATTTTTTTAACATCGATTGATAAAAATCCTGATTTCCTCGTTATTTTTCCTATATTTTCCTAGAATTTATTTTAACATTATAAAAATACAAATATTGCCTCTTTCATGAGTTTATCATGAATGCACTGTTTTAGAGTCTACATATCTAAGCAGAAAACAGTTCCCAAAATGTTAAGTATGAGTTTAAAATCTGTTCAATAGATTCTTTACATCTCGGATTAAAAAAGATGAAGTAATCTTCATTTGCAAATACAGGATGTTTATCAAAATGCATTGCTTCTTAATTAGAATATTGCTTTGTTCTGACCACTAGGTGGTGCAAATGCCTGCAAGTATGTATGTCTGCATGGGAATGTAATGACAGTTATAAATATTATTTTTCTGATCAACAGATATTTCCTGGACTGATTCTCTCAGACATTAAGCCTGCAAAAAGAATGAAGTTCAAGACAGTCTGCTATCTGCTTGTTCAGCTCATGCACTGTCGTAAGATGTTCAAAGCAGAGATCCCTTTCTCCAATGTCATGACGTGTGAGGATGATGATAAGGTAATCCATGTGGGCCATGTGCACTCTTTGTGCATCAGTTCAGGACTGCATCCAGCAGACTTGCTTTGAGAACATAAGGGATGATGTTATCGACTGAAAGAGAAATTTCTGGTGTTCCTACTGGAGCTGAAGCTCCAGTATATAATGCTCACTGTAAAAATAAAATTTAAAAAGGCTTTAAATTTGTAGCACCTCTTGGAAAAGCCAGTTGAGGTGGCTTATGGGGTTTCTCTTAAGGGCTTCCTTCACAGAAATTAGAGTTTCTGAGGCTTTTTCCATCATTTTGAAGAGATATTATTTTGCATCTTTTGTCCATCATAGTCTGAAGCTATTGATGGCAAATACAAAACAACAGAATAATTTTATATCTCTACATGGTTCTCTAAAAAATGAAAGGCAACTGATTAGTCAAAACTGCTCTCAGTCCCTAATACAAATCCTAAACAGAGAAGTTCCTAATACAAATTCTGCTTTCTTGGATACCTTGTAATGCCATAAATCAAAATTGCTTTACATACTAGTAGCTTGATTTACTTCCTTTTCTGTACATGAATCTACCCAAAAATTTATGAAAAAAAACCCTTTAGAGTTGTTCGTTCCATTTTCTTAGCCAGCAGGTGGCAATATTACATAGTCACTCCACCACTCCTCCACTCCACCACTCCAGTGGTGTCATAATGTGCATTGGAAGCAGTAATTCAGCTTGACTGATTGCTCCACATTATTTGGGGGGGAGGGTTGTTTGTTTGAGGGTTTTTGTTGCTATTTTTGTTTAATAATGTACATTTATTGAAGATTCAGTCTAAATCTTACTTTCAGAAAACATTCAAAATTTCGTATTTTGGGTTTTATATATGCTTGTGTTTGTTCTGCAGGAAAAGGGCAGAAAAGTCTGTTAGTATCTTTAAAACACATTTTCAGTGAAGACTTTCAGAAACTCCAGATTTTATTTTGAAACTAGCCATGTACAAGACCTTCCAATTGTGAATTAGTGCTGTCTTTGACTATTTAAAAAAAGGAACCCACACATTCTTTGAAGCATATGCAATATTTTGCATTGTGTCTTGTGTATATGTATATATAAATACGGTAATATACACAGAAAATACCCATACGAGTTTGCTAGGGATCTGATGAAAATTTTTGCATGTCAGAACATTTGCAGTGAAGTTCTAAAATACTGTTATTAACTGAAACAATTGTTCTGAGTTTCTGTAACTGTTATGTAAAAATTATCATGGATTTATATTATACGCTATTAATATAAATACACTGTGTTGCAGTGCAGGGTTTCTTCAGAGCTTTCCGTCCTCGAATCACGTAAATCAGGTAAAACAAGCAGGGCTTTAAAGGCTTTGAAGCCAGTACATTTCTGAGAAATATAAATACTGGCTTGATCACATATAAGACAATGTACGTCTGCTGTATGAAATAATAATAGAGATAAAAATAAGAGACACAGAGGAAATCATTATTTGCAAGGAACAGCTATTTTGATTAAGAGCAGTAACTTTAACCCTATGTCAAAATGGCAGAATAGATAGTATAATTTATTCCATATATCAGAATAACACCCATCATCTACCCTCCTTCCAGGTTTTAAAGCAAAGAAACGGTATTTTGCTCCCCCCGTTGTTATACTATAGGCTTAAATTTGAATTGTAAAAAATCCCTGAAGATGTTCTTTCTGCTTTACCTTATGCAATACATATGGTAACTAATTATTGTTTATGTCAAGTAAAACTATGTATTCCTGACAATATTCTTGAAAGCACTCAGTTTCCCTGCAAACTAGTGGGACAAATGTCTTCTGCAGGAGAACAAATTTATCTCTTTAGAAACACTGAGAATAGTTGTTTGGCTGGCAATTTAAGATTTCAATTATTCCTAACTGTACCCAGAAGATCAGAATTGAGTCCATGTAAGTTCCCCAGATAATTTTTTGTGTCGAAACAATTAGTTCTTACACCACAGACAATTTACCAAGTAATGGGATCTGATAGTTTGAAGAAAAATGTTTCAAGTAGCCTCATAATTGTTTAGTGCTGGTATAACCTCCTCTCTACATACAAAGCCAGCAAAACAAGACTGGGAAAGCTATTTTTATCTTTGCTAAGGTCTATTTTTCTTTATGATCAGAAAGCTAACGTGTCAGTCAGTAGATAACCCTTCCCACTGTTCATACGTATTCAGGTATAATATCCATATAACATAAGCTATGTAAGCTAATGAACTGCTGTACTCCACAGTTTGTTTACTGATGAGGATCTCATAAGAACTTCTTGTGGAATAAGACAGGAAATGGCCATTCCTGCAGGATTACTTAAATAGCAATCACCACCTTTTTTTTTACTATCTGGTTTAAAAGGGTATTTTGTAGTGTAGCCTTTAAAGAGGGGCTTATTAAGTACTGACTGCTCTGAAGAGAGAAATTTTGTCTGCTGACAGACTCTGCTGATTATATCCTGAGCAGACTTGTCATTCCATAATGTTTTGACTTGTCTTGAACTCCGCAGATGTTAGATAAAAAAGTATTCCTTTAACTTTGTAGAAATAGTAGAACTTGCCCAAGCTTGGTTGTCAAAACTCTTCTGAGAAAGAAGGCTTGATCCCTCTCTATTCATACTAGTACAGATCTAGCCATAATGGTTTAGATTACAATGCCCTCAACTGATGGTTGCCACCAGTGTGACGGAGATGTTGCTCATGGTCTCCCGAGTGCTCTCTGTGAAAAGCAAGACAGCTTGTCTACAATCCCTTTCAGATATGCTCTGTGATAAATATTTTCCACTGAAAGGGACTATGAGTGATCATCTTGACAGTCATGCTACTTCAGCCATGAAGGAACCAGTTAGGCACAGGTTAGCTCTGATAATTTATTGGGTTGTGCCATCTGGATCTGCAAGTGCGCGTGAGGCATACTCAAGAGGTCTTAACGAGAAAGCCACTTGGGTGAGTTAAAGATAGGAACACTTGAGATTTCAGGCCCTCTGAAGTCACACATGGTCATTGTGTAAGTGGTTAAGGAAAATTATCTTTTCAAAATATGTATTGCTACCTAGACAGTAGGACTTTCTTGTGTCATGAAGAGCGTGATTATATTGTCTTCAGGATGTCCAGAGCCTCACACCTTCTGTCAAGAAAAAATAATTGCAAGGTAAAGTCACACTGATTGGGAACAAACTGATTATTTCCTCAGTGGCAGAGAAGTGTCAGGGCAGTGTATGAAGAGAATTTCTGGATTAAAATCCTGGAATGCAGTGGGGTGTGGCTCTCATTGTTTTGAATGAAATCAGGATTTCGGCTAAGGAGTTTTTACAAGATGGCATTCGCATGGAGATAAGATCTCTGTCTTTTGTAGTTGCTCTGTTTAATGAACTCCTCATCTTGACTGTGAGCTTGAGGTAATATGAACAGCAATGAAAAATTTCAGTGCTAATAAAATCTGTGCTTCTTCCTTCATCTGTGCCACAGAGGAGAGCATTAAGGACAGCCTCTGAAAAACTCAGGAATCGTTCCTCTTTTTCTACCAATGTTGTATACAACACTCCAGGAACTCGAGTAAACAGATACATCAGCCGCTTGATAGAGGCCCGGCAAACTGAGTCTGAGATGGCTGACTTGAACTTCATTACCCTGAAGTATAAGCAAATTGAGCGTGAAAATAAAGTAAGGGAGTTTTAAATTATTTTTACTCATTTCACTGACCACAAGCCAGCTAGCATTGGGGTTTTGTTTGTTTTTATACAATATTTAAATTCTACTCACTATCTTTAAATACTTCACTGGACTGTCTCTCAGTTAAGAGGGAGACATTATCTCTACCTTCTATCAAAACGCTTGAAGAGGATAAAAAGAAAGATCAGTATCATCCTACTTACCAAGATCCTATTCCATAATGTTACATATCCTGTGTTTTTGTCTTTCTTTTGGTTATCCAAACTGCCTGACCTGTGTCCCCTGTTTAATGCTGTCTCATGACAATGTGGCTGCCTACTGACTCATGTGCTCTGGAAAAGTGTTAATGACAGGAGGATGCTTCCCTCTGCATATTAACCTGATAAGTATATATCCCATCAGTTCTAGAAAATAACCAAAAAAACCCCTTTAAATCTCTGAGCAAGACTGTGGTCGTGCACCAGTCTGGTTGTGCTGAAAGCAGTGGATTAACTCCAGACTTATAACTATGCATATAAGCTAACAATTGTTCCTACCTTGGTTTTGTTTGGCTTTTGTATTTTGTAAATACAAATTGTTTGTATTTACAGCTTGTAGTTTATGTGTTTTTTAAAAAGCAAGTGTTATGGTTTTGGATTAATTTGGCAGTAACATTTAATGTTCTACCGTAAGTCACTTTATAGTCTAAGATTTCATGTCTCTACTGTTCCAAGTCAGAAGTCTGTGTGCCATATTGGATCTAATTTTTAAGGTTTTGAGCATAAATTTTGATTTGAAGTTTCCAGAGTAATTTATTATCCGAGTGTAACTGTTCTCTTTCAAAATAAGAAAGTCTTTTGATGTAAATGAGATTGAACTTTGAATCTTTCTGAGAAAACACTTCTGTGTTTCTACCCCTATAAAGTGTTATCTTGTAAAGTGTGTAGCTTAGTGGAATTGAAGACAGTAGCTGCTCAAAACTAAACCCATGCATCTCATTAGCAGCTGCCTCCAAGTCCACCCATTAGTGTCCTGCCCTGAGCAGCTGAGATGACAGGACTTCTTGAAGGCAGCACCAGGGGTGTTTAACCTTGTTTCATGATGAGTAAGTAGAGAATAGGAAGTGCCACCTCCTTCTAGTTCAAAATGGCTGAATTTTTTTTCTCCAAAAGATAAACTTACATCTGAACCTAACCCAGTTTTGACTAGTTACAGGGTAAAACTGAAGTCTGTCAAGGAAAATGTTGTGTAGACTTGCCTCATCTGTTTTTTTCATGTGAATTAAGCCATGATTATTTGTATGTTTTTAAACTAAGTAGGAGCTTGTTTTATTTTAGGCTATAATTCTTTCTTACTGAGAATGGACAAGTGTTGCTGACTAGGTGTATACAAAATATCTGCTGTCTTAATTTCTTCTTTTCTTTAACAGTACCACCAGCTTCAAGACGAGTACTTCACCAGTGCTGTAGTTCTCTCATTAATTCTAGCTGCCTTATTTGGCCTTGTCTACCTTCTAATAATACCACAGTAAGTTTCTGTCTTTTGCCATTATAAATCAAAGTGGAACACCTTCAGACATCCTGCACAAATTAAAACATTAAAGTCTTTGGAACAGGAATGAGCACCAAAGTTGCCATCTTCTAATATAGGAGATTCTCTGCTATATATTCTCAGTCTAATCTCTTTCCATCTATTTGTCCAAAGGAGACACTTTTCACTATCTTTTTTTTTTGTTTTGGTACAAGGATGCACTTAGAAGGAAAAAAAACACATTTAAACTTATTTAAACTTTCCATGTTTATTTCTAACTTATTTAAAGCATTTCTATGCTACAAACAAAGGTGTTACTACAGCTTTTTTAAATGTGTTTGTGCTGACTTTGGGTGAGGTACATCAGGTATTGATAGCAACATAGATAAAACTATACTGATTTTAATGGAAACTAAGTACTGAAGTACCCACCTAGCTTTTCGACCCAGATTTATAGCCTGCATTGAGATTTTTTGTATCAATGCTATCACTACATAAACTGCCTAGTGGATAGTTTGGCCATGCACCCATAAGTTGCAGTCAGGCCTTGACTGCGCTAACCCAGAAAAAACAAATGCTCATGATGTATTTCGGGACTGTTCTATACCTATTGCTGAGTGATACAGTTTAGTGATTGCTTCAGATTTTGTCAATTCTATGTGATTTTTTACTAAATAAAAAATAATTAAAATTCACTGTCAAATCTAGAGGTTATAATAAGTAGATAGAATTGTGTTTAAGGTATAAAACTTATTAGTAATAAGCTTTTTTATATTAGAATATCAAAACATTAAAAATAAACTTTACTCACTTTTACTAATTATTACAATTTCAGTGAGAATAGAGCTGGCCACAGTTAATGAAAATCCCATTTAAAATTCTGTTTTTTTCTATTCACAAATTCCCAGTCAGGGTAATACTTTTATGGTCTATTATTTCTTATTGAAAGATTGAGAAACACTTTTTTTTAACTCAATAATAATAATAATAAGTTGTATAGTACCTTTCATCTGAAGAATTCAAAGTCACTGACAAAAATCATCACTTACGTCATCATTTCCAGAATAACAATTCTGCTGACTAATCGGAACGTAATTAAGAAGTCTTTCACCCTCTTCTGCAGTAAACCACAGCTGCAATACATGGCAATTTTGAACAAGGAGAAAAAAATGAAAAAAAATAGAATGAATTTCCAAGAATCTTATGATAATCTTTCCAAAAAGTACTGTCACTTAAAAAACAGCTGGACAGAGATTTAGTTTAAACTCTGATCTGACAGACACACAAGCTCCAGCAGAATATCACCACTGAAGGTCATGAAGATGGACTGGGTTAGTGAGGAAATCCATCCACTGAATGCTCCTAAATTCTTTCTTCCAGTGTCTGTTATTCTAGCCAAATTACTAGTCTCGCTGGACTCTTCCCTCACTGTGATACATATGCAACTGTGAACTAAATTAAAACTTTGAAAGTATAGGAAAATTTCCCCTCTCCCCAGAACTTGGAGCTTTGGGCTGCTCTTTAGATTGCCAAAGCAGTTATAAATATGACAAAAGAATGCAAAAGCCAAAACAAGACTTCTAATATGTTATTCTAATGGAAGAAGTGATGTATGGCAATATTCCAAGAAGGAGGTTCAAAATCTAGACAACTAAATGTTGTACGAAAGCCAGTTGCTGCATAAATACACAGAAACCAACGGGCTTGACATTCTCACAATTCCTATCATCATCTGAGCAAAACAGCTTCTCAGCTAAAGGCATATTTCATGTCTCCAGATGGAGTTGTTGAAAGTAAGGTTATGTTCCAGTCAACCTAATCTGTCCAATTATGGAGGCACACATGCAATGTAACCATTAAAAGCTCTGATGATGAACCTTTCTGATGTCTTATACTGTGTTTATTTTTTAAAAAACAATGTAGCCCCTTTTACAAATGCCAACCCAAATGTCTGTCAGGGTCTCACTCAACACTAATGTCAATTGTTGGTTATTGCTGCCTAAAAGATGTCATTGCATTCATGGCCCCTGCATTCTTTTCTAGCATACTATCATCCTGAATACAAGTGAGTTCTCTAGAAGCGTGAGAGCCTGTAGTCTATTAATACTTGTATTCAGAATCCATACTGACTGTACTAGAGTCACCTCCCCATTCTGGTTACACATACTACAATACAGAATTTTCCCTGTTCCTGTATTGGTAGGAATCATTATATGTATTTGAAATCAAAGCCAAATAGTTAGAAATTATACAGGAGAATTGCACACTTCCGCTGTTCGAAACCCTGTATAACCAATCTTTCCCCAGTAATCATCAAGGGCACAGATACATATATATGAAACCATGACTCATATCTTCTGGACTGGCTGGTTTGTTCTCACAAGCTAGAAAAGAAGGCGTGAAGATTGTGTTATGCTGATGTCATGCAGCCCTGGTTCCATGGCTGGTGTGGGGCGGGCCTGTCCCTAAGCAAAAATCAAATGCACCAGTACCAGCACTGGTGGAGTTATTTTTGTCAAGTTGCACACATCCATACAGTACTTTTCCAATAACAGAAGTTTTCTGGAGGTGGAAAGTTCTTGGTTTGCACCCTTCTTCTCATGAAGAACAAGCCTTTGTGAAACCTAAGATTTGTCTAACCATTGAGAAAGACTGAGGAAGGAGTTCTGTTCTGTTCTATTTCATTAGAAGGCAGTCTGGTCTGATTTTGTTTGACTTGATAAGTGACTGAGTTGAATGACCTCTGATTTCTGAATCTTTGAGAAAGAGAGAAAAAGCATCTGGTAACTGTTACATAGCTGCCAAGGCCAAGTAACTGGGTTACATACTCCCTTGTGAGAATCATCATGCTGAATATTCTGCATTAGCCTACAATTAGAAAGTGTCTCTCCTGACACACCATATATTTGAATTTTTGAGGTGCTTTGATCTCCTTGCTGAGTCCAGAGTGGGAACCATATAGAAGAGTATTTACTAGTGTCTTAGTCTTGAGAGCAGTGCACTTCACTGTTAAATTCCTTCCGCTGTGGTTAGTATTACAGCAAGGTTGAGGAGGAGATCTTACACCATTGGTTTAAAATACCATTTCAGAAGGACCCCAAACAGCAGTTTGTTCTCATCTGCTGCATTGCTTCTGTTGTATTTTGATTCTAGGAGTACCGTAGTTCTTGTTCTCCTGGTGTTCTGCATATGCTTCCTAGTGGCTTGTATTATGTATCTACACGTCACACGAGTACAAGTAAGTGATTTAAGATTTTATGACTATTCTTCCTTTTGGTGTCCATGCTGTGCTTGTCCTTTGGAATATGAAGTCATCTGTGTAAGTTTCACAGATTCATAGAGTCTGAAAGCTATGTGCTTATCAAATTCATTGCAAAGTAATGTATTAGGTACTTCAAAAACAAAGATGGATCACCTGAAAGTAGACTTTACATGAGTAATTGTTACAGCACTGTAGCATTCAGTGCCATTAATTCTATGCTTTCTGTCTTTTTTGCTACATCGTCCCTTAACACTTACAACTAGGTACTGAATCATTACAGTGTTCAGAAAAACAACTGCTTTAATCTGACTTCTACTCCTTTCTGGCAGCAGAGCACACTAGTTCTCCCTTCCATTTCAGCTGGTATCTGGGTGTAAAGTCCTGATAAATTCCCCTCTGTTTTCAAAATTTTTCCTGCCAAAGCTGCAGCTGTTTTGATGGTAAAGTACAATGTTTTGCACAGATAATCCTTGGCCTTTTCAAAACCTTTAGTAATGATTAATTCTCCTGCATTATATTTTCACAACAGTAATGATGTAGAAGGACGTTTGGTTGCATTATCAGCGAACTAGGTCTGCCACATCAGAATAAAGCATCTACAGGCTAATTTTCTGATGAAAGAAATCTGTAGTGGATTAATCTAAATTTAGACTTTTCAGACAAATATCAGGACAAAACACCTACGCAGTTAATCAGCTTTTCTGATTAGCACACACGAATTTTAGTTTAAAAAAATGTCCTTTGACAGGAGAAAAGTCATTGTTTTCATGGAAACTTAAATAGCATATTAGCAGAGTATCAGGTACAGAGTAGAACCCTATTTATAAACTTGCACAATTATTTGGGAGTAATTTTGATGATCTCTTTTGTTTCATTAAGGCAAAGTAGTTTATCATCTATTCTTCTCTGTGTAGATGTTAGAAACACAGATGAAGTTTATGGGAAATTACTTCTCTTTATACGGTTTCCCTGGGGTTAGTGCAAACTTGAGATGTGTTCCATCTGTTTTGTCAGTCAACAAAATCTGTATTTATTCCAGGTTCCTCTATAGATTCAATACCTTGCAGGATCAAATCCACCATTAGAAAAATAAAGAAATATAAAACATCAGAATATCACAGTTTAAAATTTTATGGTGAAAATTTGTCTTATAGAGTAAATAAAATATAATGAATATACTATGTATAAAGGATGTAGAATGTATAGAATGTAAACCACTCGTTCCCCTATTTTAATCTGTCTTCTGTCACTTATTTGTTCTTTCACACTAGATAAGTGGCTCAGCTTCTCCATGCTTTACCATTGAATGCCTTACTCCTAAAACCACTATGACAATGTTTTACTGTACTAGTTACCTAGCATTTCTGGGCTCTGACAGTACTTATATAGTTAATAAAAATTCCACAAATAAAAGAAAACAAAGAAAATAAAGCACAAAATTCTATGCTATCGTTAAAAAGTAGTTGCAATCTTAGAATGACTTAAAGTCAGAAGTATAAATCATGTTAGTGTCAGAGTTTTAATTCAGACATGTCTCATACCTTATCTTTTAAATTTTTCTTTTTAACACAATAGCCTAGCATGTCAACATATAGAACATCTATTACCACACAGACCAAAAAAAATTGGCACAATGTGTCAGGACACGTGGTCTTTGAATCTGTGTGTTGTTTTGTCACTGTTAACAATCCAGCATTATCTTCAAGCTCTCTTTAATAAACAGTAGATAATTGCAAACTGAATTTGATTGCAAACTGAATTAATGGAATGTATATATTTCCTTCAAACAAAATTAACTTTTTTTTTTATTTATATGGATAAATCTGCACATTCCACACCATGTGTGTATAGGATTTTGGTCTAGTTGCGTGGACAGTTTGATGGGTAAAATGCCATTGGGATGATCAAATTCAGAGCATAGCAGTTTATGGTTGTACTCTATTTGGTAGTAAGTGGAGTACCACGAGCATTTATCCTGAATCCTATCCTGTTAGACAGTTTTATCAGCAACCTGGAGAAGGACATGGAGTATACTCATGTATACTCCATGACTTCAGTTTTGGCAGAATAGCTGTCAGGATGACTATTGAGAGGATTCTGGATAGGCTGGCAGAATAGGCCAACAGGAATCTTATGAAATACAGCACGCATAAATGCAAAGTCCAGGCCCTGAGAAGAAAGAACTGCCTGCAATAACACAGGCTGGGGAGTGACCAGCTCTGCAAAAATAGCCCTGGGACTCTGGGGGTTAAGGCAGACTACTTTTGGGCCTCCTGAGGTCCCTTGCAACCTGAACTGTATGATAGTGATGAATAAATGCAGAAATAGTCTGTCTTTTTTCATAATGTAATTTTGGACAATGCTGTATCGTTTCCCTTGAGACACAGTTTTTCAATCTCAGATTTTTCCAATTTGAGGTTCAGCAATATGCTCACTCTTTTATTAAAGCTGATATACCTCGAGTATCCTAACGTATTTTATTGATGCTGACTAATACTTAATCTGGTTTATGGTGTATCTAAGTAACTCAGGTCCATAATCTATTATTGATATTATGTTGGTTGTTCCACACGTACACTTACACGGACTTAACTCATACTGAAGTCAGAATGTATTTGCAGTTCACATATTTTTTATTTCTGCTGTAATTGCTGTATTCTCATGTGTCACATCCCAAACAAAGTTTATTCACCTATAAGTACCTCAATTTTTAATTCATGGTCACACGTACAGGCGAAATGTCTCTGCATATGTGAAAGGAAGGGAAGGTATTTAAATACATGATTTCTGTTGTGCCAAGGCTACAGTGGTCCCTCTCTGTGAGTACTTTGCTGCCTACTGGAAGCTATGCTTTTGATGTTGGTGATAGCCATAAAGTGAACAGCTTTCCTTCACAACTGGTGATTTTCGTCCAAAAATCAGGTGTTTGCTTTCTCTCTTTGACCTTAAGTCAAATTCAACCTTGATAAATCTGAGCCCCCTCCTTTTAAAGAATATAGGATTGTCCCCACTTTAAATCTGATTTTTTCTTGGAGTTGGTTCTTGACCCTTGAAGTCACTGGAAGAAGTCTAATGGTCTGAAAGATATATCATGGATCCAGTATATAATAAATACTCCACACACTCATAGTGAGAGGGTAAGAAAGGAAAGCAGCTTTATTGAAAGCAGAGTAGATCAGTATGACTGGAACAATTCTGACAGACTTACCCTTCGTCTCTCACATTCTGTCATAGGCTTCATAGCAGCAAGAACTTCACACATTTAGAAGTGTGATAGATGAAATCAGGGTAAAAATGGAGATAAGCAAGACTCTATTTCACCAGATATTTTTGTTCTCTACTGCTCTTTCTGACAAATTCAATATTTTTAATGAGTCCTGATAATTAAAACTATTCTGGCATGGCATTTAACATGACTATTATAGCAGAAGACACAAATACCACTCCAAAATTCTATGCTATGTATGTTCTCTTGGGTCACAATTTGGAACTGATAATTTGCAAGACAAAAGTTGCTTTGGATATTTTTCCCATGAGAGCAAGATCAAATGCCATCCTAATTTATTATTTGCATCATGAGTAGACATGCTACTAAACTTTCTAAGAGTTTTAATTATAGTGAGAAATAATGTATAATAATAATAATTTCATATTTATTATCCCCAAAGCTGCGATTACCATTAAAACACATCTACACAATAATAACTGCATAACAGTTATTACACAACAATAACTGCAATGCAGGCTAAATTTCTATATCCCTTATTCACCTCTCATTATAGACTACTAAAAAATATCTACCCCACTTTAAAATATTTTAAAATATTTATCTGTAAATCTTTTTTTTCATTTTCTTAGTGTTTTCCAGGGTGCCTGACAATACAAATTCGTACCATTTTGTGTATTTTTATTGTGATCTTAATATACTCTGTGGCTCAAGGATGTGTGGTGAGTATTTATATCAAGTATCACGTAATTTAACGTTCTGTTTAAAGAACAACCTGGTACAGATCCATTAAACACGTTGATAAATGCAATCATTAATGCAATCATTGTTTGCATTGATAAATGCAACCATAGTCTCGTCTAGTGAATTCCTACTCTCTTTATTATTCATATTTGCAGGGCATGTTAATTCAAAATTAAACCCTTCTGCTGTAATTTGAACTTTAACTGACAAGTTGTTGAATTAGGAATGGCTAAGCAATTAGCAAGTTGCATAGATCATACCTAGTCAACACCTATAGAAATCTGTATATCAAAACTTAGTATCATATAGTCTGCTGATGTCTTGTACTTTATGGGAAAACTCTTTTTAAATGTTCAACTTGCTTGCTAGTTCACTGGCTAATATTTTGTGACAGACAAGGCATGGTGTCAAAACAAGATTACTATTTCTATGTGGCAACTTATAAAACATCTTTCTGTGTAATAACAGGGGGATATTTTTAGTCCAGACAGATCAGAAAAGATCTTAAGACATCTTAAAATATGGACAGTTTTGTGTAACAAGAAGAGGTGCTTACACTGTGCTACTTACACAATCCATTCACATCTAATATCTAGAAAGCTTCTGTTCTATGAAGTGACCTTGCTTAATGGTTCTGAAGCTTGAGCTTCCTTTACTGTAGCCTAGCAGCTAGTTCTACATGGTGGACTTGAATTCAAATTTAAACTTCCACCTAAATATTTGTCATTCAGTTGCCTTGCCAAATACCAAACACTCATTTTCAGCATTTTGGCTGCTAATGCTAATGGAGGGTACTCAAAAGAAATCCACACAAAAAAATAGCACACTAAACACAACTGGAAATGCTAAGAAGGCAGATGTGTGAAATTATGCCTCTCTAGAGGAATTAAACAATGTGTTCTGACCATTATGAAGACATGAGCAATTCTCAGTGCTAACTGAGATACCAAGCCCCTTATTTTGTATTTTGTGTATTTACTCATTCCTAGACCTGCCCTGAGAACTTATACTAAGCTTATCCACATGAACTGAATGGGCAGTGGATCCCTTCTCTGTGAATTCCAGTGTCCTGAGAGAAACCAAGAATTACTGATGTTCAGACATTCCTGGGAATTCCTGAACATCAGCTGTGTTAGTTAACACACAGCCCTCGCAGAACACAGGCATATATGTGGTTCTTAGTGCAAACATTAGCCCAAAATGCATAGAGCTGTGCAGTGCCTCTAGGCTAGTTTCTCAGCAAGTTCTGTGTATATGACTTTGGGATTAGGACTAATGTTATGATAGCTGAAATCTTTGTGAATCAACCTCCGTAGATCTGACACTTACTTTGACCGAATGAAACAAACACCATCATTGCCACTTAAAGATGGTGAAAATGAGAAACAGACATCGTAAGCCCTAAAGAAACGTTGAACAACAGTGGAAGAAGTCAGATTAGAATTCAGAAGTTCTGTCCTCCAACAAGGCAGTGATCCTTCAGTTAGGACTTAAAATAGGTCACAAATACAACTTTATCCTTTTCTTAAAAAAAATAACCTGTAACCTAAAGAGAAATGTTTCATCCATAGAAATTATTAGTTCCTGCAAAGTAATGCCTCTAGAATTCTTATCTGTCAGAGGAGCTAGGTGTTGAGGTTTCACACCTCTGTTGCTTGTACAGCAGAGGGTGTTTTCCTGGGTGGATTGCAGATCATTGATGAAGCACTCATGCCTGTGTATGTTTTTGGATGAGTTTAGTATGAAGAGCATTTTTAAGGATATTGAGCCCAATCACATTAAAGGGATTTTTCACTTTACTCCTTCATTTCACAATGTTAGGCATTATGAGTTCAAATCATATTTATTATATTTCATCTTTTTAAATTACTACAACCCCCTGTAAAATACATTTCTTAATCACCCTTAAGGTTGTCAGTTACTTTACAGTATGGTATAAAATTTCATTGCCAGTGCTTAGGATGAAATAAAAAGGTCTTATAACACACTTAAAAATAGAAGCTTAAGTACAGGGCAGGGCATATGTGGAAGTGCCTGTTAAAATCAATTCCACGCTACCATCCCACTCCCCCCACTTATACTAACTCTTATCCTTTTCCTTCGTTAGGGGTAAAGGTTGGACTGCAGTTAAAACTGGAGCTCTAGGGACTTGCACTATTTGCCAGAAATTCCTCTCTTCCTTGGGTAACAGCTCTGAAATGTGTACATGACAAAACTAGGTTAAATTTCCCCAAATTTCCCATAAGAAATGCACTAAAACATTTTTTTTATTTCCAGTCCAGGGAGGAAATGGAACTCCTTGGATAACTGAAATGAGAGGGATAATTAAGGATGAGTCCTTGTTTTTGAACCATATGTGACAGCAGAAGTAGCTCTGAGATGGAAAAAAGATATTATTCATGTTTAGTTTTTCACTCAGTGATTAAAATATATTTTATTTTGTATTTAAGTAATTAAAATTTATATGACTTACATAGTCAATAAAACAAACACATTTATTTCTGTGCTCTGTGCAAGATCCTTCTTCACCTGCATGGCCATGGTAAAGATTAACTGAAGTTCCTTAATTTTGCAGGAATATGCTGGTGTGAGAATCTGTTGATTTTGAGCACTGAGAAAGAAACTATTCAGCTAAGCCCAAACTTCAACTGTTTGCCCTTACTGGCATCTAATGAACAAATTTTGTCTCTCCACTAAAACTCTGTGAAGCATTGCAGGAAAAGGGGATTTTCATACAACATTGAGTTGGGTGGGAACTCCACAGCCATATTTTCCCAATTAGAAATGAACCACAGTCAGCCTTCATAGCAATTGCATTTCTGTTTATTTCGTATTTAACCTTCTCCTCTTCTCGCCTCTCCTGTCTTTTCTAGGTTGGCTGCATGCCTTGGGTTTGGAATACCAATTCCAGCAGCTCAATAGTTATAATTTCTCCTGGTGGAACAAATAAAACAATGAATGAACTTCCATGTGACACAGCCCACTATGCTTTCCTTTCCTGTGTAGTGGGGACTCTCACCTTGGCAATATTTCTACGAGTATCTTCCTTGCCAAAAATGATTCTCCTGCTTTTTGTTACAATTTTGTACATAGTTATTCTGGAACTCAGTGGTTACAGAAAAGCTTTGGGGTAGGTATCTTGCAAAGTTAAAGCAATGGGCAATTCTCTATAGATAGTCATGACATTGACTAGTCATCTGTGAATTGTCCTCGTGTTCAGTGCTGCTTAGGGCTATAGAATCAGTGAAGCGTAAGAAATACTTTAAACATCCTCTCCCCAGCAATTGTAGGATCTAGTAATATCCATCAACAGGAGATCAGCTTTTAGGAGCTAGCATTCTGTAGTTTTATGGTAACGTATTTCAGCTGAACACACTGCAGTCTAACTATAATATGAAATAGAAAACAGTTAAAAACTTCACTTCCATATTTCAACCAATTCCAATTTCATTTAAGTTTTTAAGCTTTTCGGTGTTTATGTGTTTCCTAATTCAAAGCATGCACACACATTATAATAATGCATAGCATTATAAAGTCCCCAAGAAATTGCTTGTTTGTGTGATCAGTGATCAGATATAGTCATCCATTGCCCTGCCCAGATAAGCCTTTTCAGAAAAGGTTATTGATTAGGGTGTACCCACATGTTCTAAACCAAAAATTTGATATTAAAAGTATGTGGTGTTAGGTATTGGAAAACCTGGAATAATCTGTTTACTTTCTTCTTGTTTTTAAGGGGTGGCTCCTTTTACATGCGTGGCTATGAACCAATACTAGCTATTTTGCTTTTCTCGTGTGCTTTGGCACTGCATTCAAGACAGGTGGACTTGAAACTGCGTCTGGACTACCTCTGGGCTGTGCAAGTGAGTCACAGGACTTTATAGTATCCATGCATACAAAATGATGTCTGACTTTTTGATTTGGTTTGCAAATACTTTCAGGACAAATTAGTTGGACTAAGACTCTTACGAAATTTCTCATGTCTGTTGGGGTTCACAGAGAAAAGTTATTTTAGAGCCTTCTTTCCACAGACCTATAAAATTCCTTTTTTCCCGGAGAAGTAATTTTTTTTGTTTGTTTGAAGTTGTTCCAGTACATCATCAATCATGTAATATATTTATATCTAAGGTGAATTAGGAATGTACTGTTAGCAATATAAACCTGAGATACAGAAATGAAATCCATGGGGGATTTTTATCTTTTATTACACAAAAAGGGGTGAAAATAAGTCAATTTTCAGGTAAACTGAAAAGAAGCAATTAAAACTGATAAAAGAAAATATTTATACCCATATCATGCAATGAAACTATGGAACTCCTTCCCAGATGAAGATCAGAAATTTATTTAGGTACCAAGTGCATGCACTGCTTTTGAAAATACATTTCCTAACTATCATAATCACGGCAAAACCTATAGAAATTATATTAACCGTCATACGGGCATCAAGATATGTTTACCTCCTGTCACACCTCTTAGCAGTCCAATTCCCACCTCCAAAGTGTTTCACACTGGCTCCTGAAGGAAGGAGAAAGTTCAATATGTAAGTTCGGTTTGGTGCAATTTGGAAGTTGCCCGTATGGTAAATCTTACACTCCTGTAGTTCATAGAGGTCACATTCTATTCTCATCTACACCGTTAACTATGTTGTCAAGAGGACTGTATAAATCATCACAGTGCCTGCTTTTACACATAACATCAAGACTGGAACACATGGGTTAGTGAAACACATCCCTGGCTCCAAAATGGAGAAGTCAGGAATGACTTAACTCTATTATCTTCTGCTTATAAAGTTTTTCTATGTAACAGTTAAGCTTTGTTGAGATTTCTTGTATGTCTTCATGTCCAAAACTATGTCCATGTCCTTTTCGACTTAAGATTATCTTGTTCTATAATTTCCATGGACTCTGCACTGTTTAACTGAGTCTTCAGTGTGAAATTACTTAATTTAATTTTTGTCCTGTGACCTACCGTATTGATAGATGGTATGTCTGTCAGCCTCAGAAGATTGTTTTAGACAAACTGATGCTAGTTTCTGCTTGCTGTGCTGCCAAATATAGTTTTTAGATGGAAGAAAAAGGTGGTTAGATTTTGAAATTCAGTGGAGCACATGTCTAGGTGTATACTGTGGTGGAAGTATGTGAGTGCCATATGATCCATGAATACAAGACCTTCTGTATGTTATTCTTAGCCCTGAAATAGAGTAGCAGCAGGACTATACTGGTTTTGCTATCCTGTGGCTTTTCAGCAGGTCAAGAGTGAGTTCCAGCATCTTAAATGCTTTTCATCATTCCAGCTATTATGACGAACTGTGCATCCTTAATGGAGGTACTGCTTAAAGATTATTAGTTTTAAGTTAATTTTTAATTCACAATCAATTAGTTTTAAAGTTTAGTACAGGAAACCTATGGGATGCTTGTCTAATGAAAGACCAGAACTGGGCAATAGTAAAGGAAGAAATATGAACTTTTTCTGTTTTCTTGAGGACAGGTTGTATAGACATACCTAGCCATCTACCACTATTGTTAAAACCATTGTGCACTTTTTCCAAGGGACAATTAGGGAAGATAAGACATCAAATTTCGAGTGGCATCTTCAGGTACCACTTCAAAAAGTGGTTTTCATCTGAAATTAAATGCCATTTTAAGATCTTTTCAACTGCAAATCAGGTACTTATGTGGTGCCACCTTGTCTGTGAAATTTGCATGATAATATTGAGAAAGGAAAAAAATCAGTTTAGGTAGAAAGTTCAGTATTAGAGATCAACATAACTACCATTCTTTGAAATCAGTATCCTGGATATGTTCTTGGCCTCTTAGATGATCTGAGCATTTACCTTTCTTCTTCTCAATTCCAAGAGGAAGATCCATTCCCTGTGCAGTAAGCAATAGTGGATAATATGTAAGAAAGGTTCTTCTGGTTTCCTCTCTGTATATTGATTGTGAATGATATTGAGTCCAAAGGCTAATTAACATAATATACAGAAGTACTGTCCATGATGGATGTTACATGATGGATGCTTATGATGCTTATCTATTCAAAGGGTAAGTGAAAAAAAACCCAAAACTTTGTACTTGCTAGGTTCTTCAGCACAGTAAAAATCTGAGCATTTCAGGCTCTGGTAACACTGTTGATTGGAAATATCTGTATGTTAAAACTGCCCTTGAATAGTTAGCAAACTCCAAGCTACTAATTGTTTAACAACCTTTAAGAGGAGACAAATAAAAACTACATTCTTGAGTGACCAGTTTTCTCTAGCTGCTGGATTGCGGGAGCCCATTGTGTGGTTAAAAGCATGTTTCTCTACAGCCATGGTACTACTTACCATTGAAACATGTTGGCTTAACTTGGTTATATTTTTGGTAACAGAAGTTTTAGAAAGACCATTGACTTACTGTACAGGGCCTATGGAGATTTTCTGTTTTACAGAGTAAGTGTTCTAGTTCTTTGTGCAAACACTGAATTGCATGAACTACATGCTAAGGCTAGATTCACATCTCCCAGTAGCCAGCCCCTGCTATGCGAAGATATGCCAACGTCTTCACATGTCATTTTAGGAGGCTTTTCAGTTGTTGGCTTACAACTGGGAGAATTTCAGACTCAATGGCTATTCTGGAGGCTGTAAGCACTTTGTTTGGATACTTTTAGTAGCGTTCATTGTGGGACTAGTCCTGTAAAAATATTATCAAATGAATAAAAGCGTTTGCGGCATAAGCTGCAATAAAAAAGATTTCATAGATAATTTCTTTACTTCATCATGAACAATAAACCATCTAGTACTAACTAATTATATTTTAAACCCTGAAAGTGTCCTGAAATTAATATTATTATCAGTAAGAATATATAGATAGATTCTCAGTGGTCTCTGCTAAGGTCTGAGGAAAACATATCCATAGATTTTTTTTTTCTGCCACATCAGGAAAAAAAAGTGTTTGGAAGAAGAGTAGGTTTCAAACAAGGAAAACCGGTTAAGAAAAATCATACAGTTTCAAGATAAGTTAATCTACTTTCCTTGCATCTGAGTTGCATAAACAGAACAGAGATAATACAGTATGTATTTACATAATTTATGTAAAAATGTGGAAAAAATATTTTATATGGAAAAAATAATTTTTTTGATTTGTGATAAGTTGTCAAAACATTTATATTTGTATTTACTGTTCACATGTCAGTGGTGTTATAGGTTCTTGTTGATTTTGCTAGGGTATTTTTCTGTTCCAAATTTAACCTTTCTGAATATCACAGTATTTCCAGAAAATATCTGCTCTTTGTTTTGTTGATTTTTTTAACAGACAGTGGGAGGACAATTTCATTTTCTGTATAGCATTGTTGAGTAACTCTGTGTGTCTCATATGACAATAACTATGAGTAGCAAATATAGGAACATTTTCCTTACTTGTTACTGATATTCACATTTGATGATGCAAATTGTTTAACAAAACTGGGACAAAAAAAAAGAATGAACAAATAAATATAAGTAATAAATTTATGAAGATCTAAAACCACCAAAGAATGGAGTTGCTCACTCACCCAGGATTTGTCAGTGGAGGAAAATAAGTATAATATAATGATATGACTAATTGATGCATTCTTCAGGGAATACTAGAATATAATTCCACTGGCTTTCCTAGTCCACTACACTTGTAAGAAATACAAGTTTTACAGTCTGGAAGCAAGACTTGCTAGGTGTGCTAGCACTTCCTCTCAAAAACCTGGCCCTGCAGAAGCAATGTGATGAGTCTCTTCCCTGTGGCTTTAGTGCCACCTTCAGGTACAAAAAATGAGGCTTCTTTTTAACTGAATCTTGAAACTGTATTTTCATGTAATAACTATTCAGTCAGTGACATTGCTACAGCATGTTTAGACTTAGACAGCCAGCTGATACAACTGCTCAGACCACTTCCCAAACAAAGGATGTGTAATCAGTTACCAGCATTATAAAAACTGTGGGATGCTATGTGATGGGGATGGATGGGGATATGCGTCAATCCAAGGAGACTGATTTTGCCACAGTTGCTGATTCAACAGCAGAATATCTTCCTTTATCTCCCTTGGTTTCCAGCTGCTATGTAGCTTATTATCTAAAAAGTACCAGCAAGTTCCCTCCTCTGCAATGGTTTCAACAGAGCCTGGCTGTGGTGTCTTCACTCCATGCTCCATTTAGTCCCTCTTTGTATTGTGTGAGGGAAGTTGGGTGTGCTGACCATATTCCATCCAGGGACTAGCAACCATATTTCCCCCTATAATTTCTGAACAGTTATCTTTGTTTCTTTTTTCCCACAGTCTCATCTTTGTCAACTGAATCTTCTCAGAGACAAGACTGTAGTTAGCAGTTTTGCATCCAAAGAGGGGAGGAGATGCTTGCTAGGTGTGTTGGAGATGTAGCATTCTACCATTAACAATGGTGATGCCTTTCCCTGCTCTTAGAGGATTTTGCTACCCCTTCAGACATGACTCTAATAGTTTGATTTCCACCATCAGTTCTTCACTCAAGAGCTCATTTCTTCACTTCTTAGTCATGACTTAGGCTTGCTCTAAAACCTTTGTCATTTGTACACAATGATGGGTGTACTGAAGAACCTTTTCAATCATGTCTTCCAAAATGCACATTTCGGCTCACAACTGGGCAAGGCAGAGGAATCGGGTCACACATTTCCAGATCAGAAATGAACAGCGGCTGTCAGTGAGTGAGCAACATCACTATCCATACAATGTATCAAACTGATTACTCCACTTACCTACCCCTACTTGATTCCTTTGACAGTCCAGAAATCCCTATGCCCTGACTCGAAGGAGTGTTGTTCTTTAGGCTGATATTCTGCCCCCTATGTTATTGGTAGCTTAAATGAGAACATTAACATTCCTAGGAATTAAGTAACAAAAAAGTTCTTGTTCAAAAAATAGAAGAATGGATAAACAAGCCCCAAATGGATTTTTTTATTCAGAGCATCAGTTCAGTTTTGAAATCCCTTTGCTGCTGTCGGAGTAAAATTTGCTATATTTCAGTATAGTACAAAAATGGAGTTGCAAGCTCAGTCTGGATTTTCAGCAGGAAAAATTTTTTATTTTTACTATTAGAACATTTAAATTGCAACAGTCAAACAAAATGCCAGAGACCATTTCACATGTTTATAGAAAACAATAAGTCAGAGACAGAGTTATGCCACCAAAACAGGGGAAGGATATTTTAAGAAAAGAGTATGTGAAATTTAAACAGCAAAATAAGTCTCAGGAAAACAGCTCACAAACAGGGAATAGATACTTGCTTAGAGTAAAAGCTTCAGGTGTATTTCTTGCAGAACTTCATTGCTATTTAATGTTTACTGATATTTCATGGCTGGAATAGATTCTGTTTCTTATTACACAAATAAGAGTAGGAGATGAGAATTTATTTCAGAAGGGAACAATTCCTGAAGAATTTATGTCTATAAAATCAGTTGTTTTTCTGCATTCTTTCTATTTGTAAAGAAATTTAGAAATACAGAAGTAAACTGCAAAGCAAAGTGAACTGTGTAATTTGAATAAAAAGGCTTTTTCCTAAGTTTCGTCATGGAAAGTAAAACCTGACTTCCTGGAAAAAAGAAATCACATGAAAATATATTGGTAGCTTATACGAAGGCAAGGGGTGACTGGTTTTCTCCTACTTAGACAGGAATGGATAGTGAAAAAAGTATGTGGACTTTGTAATAAATCAGGATACCAAATTTCAGATGCAAATGGGACACCAACAAAGATTAGAACAGGTTCTTTGGTGGTTTATGTGGTTGTGGTTTCTCAATAATGCCTGAGAATTTGCCCTTCCAGTCTTCCACTGATTGTAATTAGATAAACAAAATCATATTAGGATCACAGTAGAAGATTTGTGTTACTGTTCTGTGAATGTGATTGAGGAGCAAAGAATAAGATATAATTTCTGTGAGTTTAATTATATAACCTGATCAAGCATTTTCTAATTGAAATTAGAATGTAGAGCCAGAAGTCACTTTAAGAAAAAGGAGCAAATTCCAGAGAAGTAATTTTGCTGATGAGTACATGAAGGACTAGGCTGGAATTTGCAGACCTAGGAGTCCCAAATGAGATCCCTAGATATTCAGTATTTTTCTAATAAGAGGTCTGAGTTTTAGAATTGTTTCCTAATGTATGACTCCCACTAATTTCTGTTAGTCAAGGCACCTGTAATAAGATACCAGTATCTTGGGTTAGGAACCTCAGTTGTGTTAACACACTTAACTCTTTCTGAATGCTGTCATTCACACCAACAATAGAATTTCTGTTGTGAAGGAACTGTCTATGTTTTCATGACAAACACCAGCATAATTAAAACCATCTCTAGAAATGCTAATTATCTTTATACACTTTTTTTAATTAGATATCATTCTTAAGGACTCAATTTTAAAATCTTTTTCTCTGTTGAAGTTACTGACTAGCCCGTTCTCTTTACATTTTACTGCAAAATGACATAGGTTTGACTGGTGATTCTACAGGCTTCTCTTTTTTGAAACATGGATCAAATATTGCTACACTGTATCAGACTACGTGGAAAGGAATTGGCCTCCAAGACCCACTTAAGTGGGATTGTTCTGGCTTCTTACTCTGTAAAAATATCAAGGGTCTATTTTAAAAATAATGGAGAACTATGGGAGATACTGATATACTTAGCTGATCAAATCCTGAAAGTAGCCCAGAGCTTAAATTATTAAGAACTTTAAGGGATTTTGCCTAACATAGAAGCATGATACAGGAGAAACGTTCGCACTCTACATTACTGCTCTACATTATTATGCTCAGTTTAATTTCAAAGGATGAATTAGTAGAAGCTGTTTGATAGGTTCAACTAACTTTTTGCTATTTGGAAAGGTTTTTCTTTTCCTCTATCCCCACAGGCAGAAGAAGAGAGAGACGATATGGAGAGAGTCAAGCTGGATAATAAAAGAATTCTCTTCAACCTGTTGCCAGCACATGTTGCACAGCACTTTCTTATGTCTAATCCAAGAAATATGGTAAACCAAGATAAAATGTATATACATGTTGTATGGATGTGGCCTGGTGTTGCTTGGGTCACCTTTCAATTGTATGTTTTCAAGAAAGGCTTGGACTTTTAAAATTTTGCTCACGTTTAAATAATTTCATAAAAACTTGTATTCAAGAATTAGTTAGAGATTATTTCTTTTGCTTTATGGTCCTCTTTCTCTAAAGAATTTTAATAAAAATCAGTATAAGGGCTTATTGTTATTAAATATCAGTGTAACCAAGTGTCTGCTTGTCAATCACTTCATTTCAATCAATTTAGGATATTGGGATTTATCACAGCATTGTATGAGCTCAGTTTGGTTCTGAATAGTGAAGCACATGATCTTCCAGACGCTACTGTATTACCCAATCTAGTTCTGGAAAACATGCTATCATTACCAAAAGCACCCATTTAAAGTTAAAAATGGAGAATTATACATACTCAAGGAAGACCCAGCAGCTTTTAACATAAAACGCTACAGTGACTAAATAAATTGGTTTAGGAAACCCTTACCAGAATCCTTCTGGTAATCTGAAAACCTGCAGCACTGGAGTTGCTGTAATATCCATGATACTGCTCTTGAGAATTTTGATCAATGTATTTGAACCACAGAAGAGTGGTTTTGCTTTCTTTGAGCCCTCTAAATTTTTAAGCAGAAACCTTAGCATACAGAGCAGCATTATATTACATAGGACTCCATAACTCACAGAAAGATGTGAAGGAGTGAGGCTGGTTTTTTGCTACAGTATAAAATTGCTCCACATGCTATTTTGCTTATAAAACACAATTGAGAAAATATATTTCTCACACAATGGAAGTTCTATGACTGTTAAGCCTTTCTCCAAATTTTTACTTACTGCTTCCATGTCTAAACAGAAAAACAAAACAAAACAAAACTAAGTTGTTTTAAATGGGTTTAATACTTTAGGCGTTAATTTTCTTTTATGGTTTTGAGTGGAGACATCTTTCAACATTATTTTAAGAAGATTCAACATTATTTTAAGAAGACTGGCTTTCTCTCAAGCAAAAATGATGGCTTTTGTCATAGCTATTGCTTAGCAGTAGAATGGGTATTGTAATAATGATGCTTAGTTTAGATTAATCTTTTAAAATAAAAATTATATCTGCTCCTGAACTGCAGGACCTTTATTACCAGTCATATTCACAAGTAGGAGTGATGTTTGCTTCCATCCCAAACTTCAATGATTTCTACATTGAATTGGACGGCAATAATATGGGAGTGGAATGTTTACGCCTGTTAAATGAAATTATTGCTGATTTTGATGAGGTAAGTTCTAAGGACTTTGTCTTTTGACCGTATGAGTTCTACCAAATTCCTATCAACAGAGATTATCTGTAGTAATTCATCATATCTTGAACTGCTTAATAAAAGAGTAGTGTAAACTTTCTATTTAATCATAATTGATGTCCACTGGGCTTCTTCAAGGTGGTCAGACTTTTAGGTCTGACCTCAAATTCCACTAATATAGAAAGAGTATCAAAATGCTAGTTAATGGCAGGTTTTTTCAATGACATCAAAGTGGGCCAGCCTCAACTTACCAAAAATAATATGGTTTAATGAACTTGCACATATTATCTGATAACTATGGTTGCTTGTCTAAAATATTATGTAATATTTAACAGTTTTATGTTTTAAACAAAGCTTATGGACAAAGAATATTATAAGGACATAGAAAAGATCAAGACAATTGGAAGTACATATATGGCAGCTGTGGGACTTGTACCTACTTCAGGAACTAAGGTAAGAAGATTTTACAAAACAGTCCTTTGTGAAGGAACCATTTTCTTTCAATCTCTAGAGGAGCACCAGAAACACAACTAATTCTATGTGATTACAGATAACTTGTATGACTGCTTTGCAACACTTTAAATTTGAAATTCAAAGAAAAGCTGTAGCCTGAGAAGAAAAACTGCCACAGTTGCTCATGTGGCTTCACTTGCAATTTCATTGTCTGCAGTTCTGGATTCTCTGCAAATCGATGTATAAGAGCCTCTAAGTCAGAGTAGTAGTGTTTTAAACCCAGTATCTTAGATGACCTAAGATGTAGGAAAGAGAGACTCTAGGTGTAATGAATTGCTGCAAAACTAGCAGAAGAATATTAAAATGTGATTTTTACATTTTTTTTTTAATATGGAAATCTAGATGTAACCTACAATGAAAACAAACTTTGTACTTAGCAGTGTTTCACTTTACCCTGGTCCCTTCAAATAAGCTCTTCTTTGTCTCTGCTATTGGCATTCTTTTTACCGTTTTAATTACTTAGCAGTAAAAAAAGTCAAAGTCATTTCAAGCCCCTTAGCTCTGTGGCACAGTTCTTTTGTATCTTCTTTACTACCCTGAGTGTGTTTCTCACCTTAAGTTATTGTCTTGGGACAGAGATTTCCTAGATTTGCAAGCAGGATCTAGAAAGTCAGAAAACTATGTGGGCAGTATATTAAATATATTGTATACAGAGTACCATGCATATTAATAATTGTAGTAATAAAACTAAATTATGAATATGTTATAAAACTAATGATATAAGAATATCATGAAAATTAAACCAATCTATTCACTGTCTGCTCAGAGTTTCCAGACACTTCTCCCTTGTTCCGGTATGCATGTACATATGTTGTAGACACATGTTGTATACACTCATATATACAGTTTAGCATTGAAAAATAACATCAAATTAAAGGGCGAAAATGAAAAAGGCCAGAAGATGTCCTGTGAACTATTATCCCTGCTAAGTGAATAAAAAACAAGACCACATTGAAATCGACTGTTAGAATCGTGTTGGAATATATCACATGCAACTAATTTTCTGGTCTGCAGAAAATTTGCAGCTGATGCTTTCCTTTATATCATTCCTAGAAATCTACATATTACAAAAAAGGTATTTTTAAAAGTCTGTTTATCCTGAAATGTTTGACTCATGGGTCCTTGGACAGGCAAAAAACATTGAACTTTAGATTTTTTTTCAGTGTGTGATCTCGGGCAAACAGGCAATATGTCTGCTATAAATGCTCTTTGAACTATAATGCTCAAAACAAGTGTGTTATTGGGTAACTTTGGCAGCATATGTTCCAAAATCTAAGCACGTTTGTCTCTTGTATTTTATAGTTGTTAAGCGAAGGGTTAGCTGAGTTGACCCAGTATTAAAGATACTGCTCTGAGCTTATGATAGTAATGCATTTTAAATCACTGCAGAAAGTCTTGCCTTTCTCTTAAATCTTGGGGAAAATTTTGATCTTTTCTGCACATGTAGAATTTACTTAACATTCTATATTCTGGAAAAAAAATCTTGTATGAAACAATCAATATTTTTTACTTTTAACTTGGGGTTTCAGCTCTTTGTGTTCTCTTCCCACTGCTCATGGTGTGCAAATGAATAGAAATTATTCACATCCTCCTGGCAATTTTCCAACAGGTCTTCAGCATGCAGCTATGTATTAGAAGTCTGATAATCCTGGCTAGCCTGTCGTGCACAGGTGATCACTTCCAGCCATCACACAGTCCCTGGGCTGTCCATGGGGAGCCTTAAGAGACTCAACTGCTTCTAGTGTGCCCTCTGCCAGGAGCATCCCAGCTTCAACAGAATATCTGACACAGCCTCTGATTGTGAGCAAATAATTTCATACTAGGATTTGGACATGAGCAGAAAACAGTGGATCGGGTTAACTGTGCTCTTAACTGAGGACATTTGCACACATAAGAGCTCAGTACCCTGATGAAGTTAAATATTTAAATCCCATATTTTACAGGACTTGTTTCTTGACTTCAGCAGACGAATAAAGTAAATGCACATTGCCTGTATCACAGTGGCTTTGCTGTGATGCTCTGAGCAGTCTTTCCAGTAACTATTCCTCTGATGTCTAAATGAATAATTGCTTGCCAGTTACACCATCAGGGCAACACACAAACCAACGTCTTTGTAGATCTTTCACACAATATAAAATCCTTGTGTGTGTATTTCACCAAGATCCTGACTTCACCAGTGGTCTTCAGTGCAGGTTCAAAAGAGTTTGCCAGTAAACCTATTGAGATGCATCTGTGACCTGCAGCACATCTAGTATTTGTCACAAGTCCTCTCTCCTGCGACCCTGAAGGGCATTGCAGAAAAACACAGCATTTATTAGACAGCAAAGAAATGGAAGGATAAGGAATATAAAGAAGATTAGAAATCAAATAAAACTATGCACAACTCCCTCCCTCCTCCAGACATTCAATATTGTTTCCTTCCCTGGTGGGACTGTAGCCATAAGCTCTTTAAGCTTAATTCTTGTTCTTCCTTTTTCTTGGTGGTGCTGGAAAAGAGTAGAGCTAGCTAGTTCACATTGTAAGAAGCACAATGTCAGATATCCAGGCAGGTAAATAAAAAATTTTTTTTTCCAAAATTTGGGACTGGCCCAAGGATGATTTTATAATTTTTTGTTAGAACTAATTTTTTGTGAATTTCCCAGTCACATGGAGCAGCCCTTTCAAACTGAGCAGAATAAAGCAAATAGCAACTGGTTTCTCAGGTTTGTCAGCCACTGCCAAGCACTGCATTTATAAAATCTCGCTATGATGGCAAAAACTCAGCAAGCTTTCATCTCATGCCAGCTTCCACAATCCTGTTGTGCAACACCCTACTGAAACTGCCACTGACCCTGCATTTCTTTCACCATATCCTACCTTTAGCCCACTTTCACTTTGTAAATCTGTTCCAAAATTCATATTTCTTATTCAAATAAGAGCAGAACATAAAAGCAGTCATACTGAGTCAAATCAAAGGCTTATTCTAGTAACCTGTCTTTAACTAACCAAAGGTAGATCCTGGGGGAAGGGCATGAGTTACAGGAGAAATACACAAACCTCTCTTTTCTACTTTCTAATGATATGCTGTTTAAGAAACTCTGGAGTTAATGTCTTTTTACTACTGTGTAGCAAATATTTCTTTCATGAGTTTGAGTAACTATGTTAGACTCTTGTGAAATTTTGGAATCACAATATCCTCTGACCATGAGCTCTACAGTTTAATTAATTAGCCTGAAGTTGTAAAACTTATTTTCTTATGTTTGGGGTTTTAGTTAAAAGTTGATACTTCAGCATTTCATTTGATCCCTTCTGATTTTTTTGCTATAGTTAATTTAGATACATTTTATAACAAATCCCTTCAGCTTGCTTGGAAAGGAAAAAACATAGGGGCGTTCTGTGTCACACAGGATTGAATGCAACAGAAATTTTGTCAATGGGAGCAGCATGCACCCCATGGAGTTGGGAACTAGGAAAAGCCCCAAAGGGAGAAGAGGGCAGAAACTATAGTTATTAATAATCACCAGGCAAAGTAGTTTTGTAAGAAAGCAGGTTATGTTCCCTGCCACACTCACAACAAACATCTGCAGCTCTCTAGCAACAGAACCACTTTACCATGGGAACTTTGTTTTCCATTCTTCCCAGAAATCAAAAAGAGAGAGAGAATTAAAAAAAATACCACTCAAGAAAAGAATGCATGTGCTTTAGCTACCATCAAAAGTTTCCTTTCACAAACAGGAGAATTGGTTAGATTCTTTTCCTAAGCCATCTGTCCTGCGTTTTTCATTGGTTTTCACTTTGGTATTTCACCTGCCTCTCAGTATCATACAAATCTAATGTGCAATACTATTATACTATTTTGTTTCTAGGCTAAAAAATCAATTTATTCCCATCTGAGTACACTGGCAGATTTTGCAATAGAGATGTTTGACGTTCTTGATGAAATCAACTATCAGTCCTACAATGATTTTGTCCTGCGAGTTGGTAAGTCACGTTTCTACAATTATCACACAAGCAGAACATTGTTTTTTGTTGGCTTTTCCTGTGCTGTCAGCAAAGGATTACCTGTCCTGCCCTCATGATTAAAGCTGAAAATTGTCCTTTAGTGAGAAAGTCACCTTCACGTAGAAGGTCAGCAGGCTGGATGGTATGCATTAGTATAAGGAATTACAATTATGTCCAATTCCAATGTGTTTACTTAATCTATGCACCTCTAAAAGGAAACTGCACGACTAATTTCATGCAATATTATGTGTGCCCATTCTTGTGGCTTACGCTGCTTTGCATTGCTAAACTGCTGAAAACTGGGTTTTAGTGTACTTAGCTATTAAGTTAAATCTGCAAAAGCTTTGTTGGCATTAAAAGTGTGATGGGAGCTTTTTGTTCACAGATGCCAGATCACCTTAACCAGTCCTGTTTTCTCCAACAAATCAAATCCTCTGGTCTTCACAACACAACCCTTCCCATGCAATCCTTTACACGTTATTACACGTCTTACCACTCAGAGTCCTTTCTCACAATCTTCTTAGAGATCACATTCCCCTCTTCCCCTTCTTCCCTGCATTCTGCTCCTCTCCAATGTTACTTCCACTGCTGTTCTCATTTCATTGCATATTCTAAACCAGATAGTTTTCTCCAGCTTCTTTCTCCACACATTTTCATGGCTGAATTGTGAGAATAGGCCTGACAAGGGAAAAACAAAAGTTGCTAGCAGTGTAAGATTGAGAAAGACCCAAGACATCAAAGGCAACAATAGGAGAGTTACACATATTTGACCTCCTGTACATCTTGATAATTATAAATCCTAAATTCTCTTTGAACTCTGTTATAACTGGTCTTTCCAGGTTCACAAAAGATCAAATGTGTAACCCCCATTCTTCTGCATAACTTGCCTGGGAAAGCCCTCACATGGAATCTTTTGCAGGGTTTAGTATCTGCAGCTCTTCAGGGCACTCAGAAGGAACACATACTCTTTTATCTTCCAAACAAGGTGTCCAATTCAGTCAGAAATGTAGAATCAAGCTCTGCAGTTTCCCAAAAAAAAGTGCTTGAGCCATTTTCAATCCTTTTGTCTTTTTCCTTATCTGAGTTGTCTAGTATTAATAGCCAATGTCACACACTTCCTGTACCCCAATCCTTGTGTCTTCCAGACCATTATTTCTGTTCCACTTGGAAAACCTCTGTTAGAAGACTTTATAAGTGCAACTGCAGTGGAAGTTGTAGGGACCAATTAAAGAACTAGCAGTTTGTCTTGTCTACAGCTAAACTCTGGACTAGCACTATTTTGCTTCTTTTCTTTAAATAAATAAAATCCACCAAAGAATCATATTTTTATGTTGTCTATCGTATTGCATGTCTAATAAGATATCTCAAGGAATGCCTTTGTTTTGTTTATAAACCTTTTGCAAATACAAAAGTCCAGTTGGCATTAAATTCAGCATAGAATCATAGAATATGCTGAGTTGGATGAGTCCCATCAGGATCATCAAGTCCAAATCCTGCCTCTGCACAGGACATCCTAAGAATCCCACCATGTGTCTGAGAATGTTGCCCCAAAGCTTCTTGAAATCAGACAGGTTTGGTGCTGTGACCACTGCCTTGGGGAACCTGTTCCAGTGCTCAACCACCCTTTGGGAGAAATACCTTTTCCTGATATGTAACCTTAATCTCCCCTGACTCAGCTTCATGTTGTTAATATAAATTATGTCCTATGAGCAGAAAAATTTTAAGGCACTTGTGTTGAGTCTGTTTTGTAGGATTCATGTTTCCCTTGGATAATATGCTGTAGTGTTTGAAACCAAACTCATTGTTTAATTTTAGGTATTAATGTTGGGCCAGTAGTAGCAGGAGTCATTGGAGCCAGAAGACCACAGTATGATATCTGGGGGAACACTGTAAATGTTGCCAGCCGGATGGATAGTACTGGAGTGCAGGGAAAAATTCAGGTGAGTGCCTTCTAAGACAATTTTGCAAAGTTTACATACTTCCTGTTTTACATATAGTTACATTTTCAAGACCACTTAGAAAATGCAGCCTCACTTTATCTTCTTCTAATGAAAAGGGCAACACTCTCCAGCTGACTCAAGCATCAGAGATCTAGTTGTTTTCCATCTTATATGCTTCACTCCTTGGAGACAATGAAATCCTTAAATAAATCATTTCCCATTAGAAGAAAGTTCTCTGTTTCATTGCACACAGTTGGAGGCAAGCCTGGGAATGCTGACACTGCCAGTCCTGGTACTGTAGAAATTTTGCCTGAATAAGACCTACAGGGAAAGGATCTATGTTTGTTTGCATCTTACTGCATTTTATGTAGCTTTAAAAATTTCTTTGATACTTTGGATTGGAGAGGCGATGCAAAAGAGAACATTGTTGTTCTACTAGGGCTTGGCTAGAACCTATGTTGTACCTTTCAAAAGCTCAATGAGCTCTTGCAGTCATTTATCCAAAATACCTGTTTAATCTCCAGGGATCAAAAGGTCTTCTGCAGCAAATTAACATCACTGGAACTGATTGAGCTTACAATCTGGTTATACATTTCTGTTGGACGGAACTTAATGTGGCTGTATAATTATTCGGTTCAAGACCAGAAGTTCTGCTTTGCAGATTCCAGTTAGATTGGTCATCTTTACTTCTTTAAGAAAATTCTAAGTAAGCCTGAGAGCAGCTATAGGTGCTCATCCATTGTGCTTATGCATATTTCATGACAGAAAAGTAAAATAAAGCGGAGTGAGAAGTTACATGAACAGAAAAAAGTAACAGTTGTGTTTTTCTTTCTGTCTTCAGGTGACAGAAGAAGTTCAACGGATATTAAAAAGGTGCAGTTATGAATTTGTGTGCAGGGGTAAAGTGAGTGTAAAGGGAAAAGGTGAAATGTTGACCTATTTCCTGGAAGGAAAGGCTGATGGAAATAATTCCCAAACACGGTCTTTAAACTTAGAGCGAAAAATGTACCCTTATGGGAGGGCAAACATTCAAACAAAACTGGGCACCAGCTGTCCATCGGTGTCCTCAGTTGCTAGCTTTACTGCAAAACCTGGGCTTGGAGCAGGTCAAGCGTCTGCCAGTCACACAAATCAAACACTGCATTATCTTCCTTCTGTGCCAGCTGTGAAGGAGGCATAGAACAAAGGAGATTTGGTTGTGTCATCTGCAGTGAACTTGGAGAGCAATGGTTGACTGAATTTTTACCAAGTGGTCAGAGGTCATAGGCCATGGCATTAACCAAGGACCACTACAACCCAACCAAAGAGAACTTGGGGACTGTGTAACAAACTCTTGGGATGGAACATATAAGGGCTAGCAATTCTGTTAGGAAAAGTCAAAATGGGATTTTCTGGAAATGAGGAATATTTTCATGGCATTTTTAAAAGGTAGTTGAAAAAGATTAGATAAATGTGCAAGCAATTATTTATGTGTGTGTGTGTATATATGTTTTAATCTATATATGCACATATACAAACAGTTCTGTGTAGACTTAATAGAGGTTTATAGAGATAAACAAAAAATGTGTATTTATTTACACATCCACCTGCAATGACATAGTAAAGAGATTTCTTTCTGTCATAGCCAGCATTGTTGGGCCTGGGATTAGGAAAGCTTCATTTCACCATGGAATATGGGGCACCTGGAGACTCTCCAGGGCTACAGCAGGAGTTAGAGAAACTGTGCTCCCAGTGCATGAGTTAAAGCAATGAGAACAGTGTTTATTGTGCTGTCAATGGCAGGTTAATGAAGGCTGGATTCAGCTAATTAATAAACCCTATCTAATTTTTAAAGTTCTCCTTGCATGCTTCAAAAATTTCCAAAAGGTTCCAATCAAACCATAACACTAGGATATGAAGTAGGTAAACAACAGAGCTTAAAGTTTAGGCAGAAGAACAATATATATTCTTTCCATAAAAAAAAAAAGGGTGGTAGAGTTTAGAACTTACTGCCTCTTTGTAGGTCATTTGACTTTGTGCAAGACAGAGGAGCCACCCTGCAAGCACAGCAATATGCTTATGCAATATAGAAACATTCCTTTATGTACAGTGCTGATTTTTCTGAGGAGCAGAAGGATGGTATTATTTCAGGCTTTTAGAAATAGCACAGGTCTGGCTCAGTTCCAGGATTAGCTTTACCTTTCTAAACAGCTCAAAGAATAGTCCTGTGCTGGTGCCAAACATGCTGTTGCTAGCTTTGTGACATTTGTATGTTTGCCAACATAATTTTACATCTTAACTGATTTTTAAATTTATGCCACAGTTTTATTATATCTTGATTCTATCCAGGCTCACTCTTCAAAGCTGTACAATTATAGAAAGCTATAATTCTGAGAAACAAGCACAGTCAAACTTTGCCCAAATGAGGAGCCCTCTCCTGTGCCAGGAGAGTGAGGCCTGCTCTTAATCTGCATAAAAGGGAACATATTTTGACAGCTTTTTTCTTTAATGCAGCCCACATCCTATTGTCCATGGTTTCATCTTGAAACACTGATTTGGATATGAAATGTGGAGTGCATTTCTGTACTCGAGGTGGGGGCAGTTGGTGTTCATCCTGTTGAGTGACGTACTCTATAGTCCAGTGCCATACTGTCCTGATGGGGATTCACAGGTTAACTAACCTCACTGTTTTCCAAAAGAGAAGCAAAACTTTACATTGTCTAAAAACATGCAAAACATCCTTTTAACCAAAAAAAACCCAATCCCTGTTCCCCCTCCAAAAAAACTCAAGACCAATAACCACCACCACCAACAACAAAATGAAAAACCCCACCCTAGACTACAGAAGTTGTCCAGATTGTACAATAGAAAACTTGTGTACTAGATTTCACATTTCCCTTTAGAGGGCCTATTTTATTAAAGATTTCAGTGGAAAGAAGATTCTGAGTGATTCTTCTGCAATCAGCTTTTACTTTGGAACAGTCACTGTTTGTGTCAAAAGTATATGGACAAATACTGTGTCAGCAGATGCAAATAGTTAAATAGATGTTACAGGAGTTTCTGTTCTTCATGTAGCCACATCAGGCTACTGTGGGACTCCAGTGGTTTTCAACAGGGTTTTAAATTAATTTTTATGTACCCTGTCAGCTAGGTGCTTCATTACAAAGCTAGCAAAGTTAGTGTTGTGATTAAAGTGACTATAAAAACCTGAGAACTGCTTCCTAACTGTACTGTACAGGGTGTCTGCATAGTGGTTGGTCTGTAGAAAGTCACTGCATTTCTTTATCTCCCTAATAGCTATCCAGTTCACAGCTATTCTTCTAGAATAATTTATTTCTGGTTTTGAGGCATCCAAAGCCATTTAAATAAATACATGTAGAGAATACAGATATAAAAGAACAAATATTTACATAATTAAACTGAATAAGTGGTATTCATGTAAAGCACACTGCATATTTATGTTGTCTAACTCGTTTGTATGAACTAAATTATCATGCAGTTAAATATTTAACAAAGTTGGAAAGCATTATATGCAATAGCAATAATCACTCAGTTCCACTCTTAAAGATTCCATGCTACTGAATTTTTGAATCAGTGAGTTTGGTATAATTTCAGTGATAATAATAAAATGAAAGAATATTCAGATTCTAGCATCAGATCTGGTAGTACATGAACACATCGAACAAATACACTCATTGACCGACCCAAAAAGTTTGCAATGAAATTATTTATTTGTTATTATTTTTATTAGGCCCAAGATATAGGCATCTTGCTATTGCTTCTTTGATCACTAAATGGACAGTGAGCAGAAACAGATCCCCTCTGTTAATACTTTTGTGACTGCTCTCATTCACAGCCCCATTCTCAGCCTGGTAATGTCACTGGAAGATCATGTAGCAAGGTAAATTTGGATTATTTATTTTAAAAGATTAGCAGGTGTTAGTAGAAAAGGTCCGAAGATTTTCTAAGCCAGATCCTCCTTTCCAACAGCCAAATGAGGCATGTGACTTTTGTAAGAGTGTTTTCTATGTCGAATGGAAAGGACCAGACAGGCACAGTCCATCATCAGCTTCTCATTCGGCACTTTTGCAGGAGGTTTGTGCCTCCCAGAGCAGGTTGAGTGGACCAGGATGGCTTCTTGGTAGTGCAGGCAAGCTAGTGCACATGTGCTAGCTTATAGCATCAATTATGGTGTATTTGGAGTCAATTTCCATGAGTCATAGAATCATGGAATGGTTTGAGTTGGAAGGGTCCTTAAGGAGCATTTAGTTCCAATTCCACTGCCATCAGCAGGAACACCTTCCAATAGACCAGGTTAACACTATTCTCATTAAGTTCATCATCATTAACATCATTATCCTGTCATTAATGTTTTTCATATTTTTGTTATGGTTGTTGCTGGTTTTACTGTGGGGAAAACTATATATTACTATGTAGTCCTAGACTGACCAGTACAAAGTCATGAAAAAAGTTCAGCCAAGGTACAAATCAGTAAAAAATCATGTGAAATTGATAGGCAGTATTCAGCAGCCATTTCAACAGGAAAAAGTAAATGCCCATTGAAATCATGATATGGTGCAGCTGTGCTTTTACCTTTATGCTTTCCCTCCCTATTCATATAATTTTTCCCATTTTCCTCTTCTGTGTAAATTTGTTTAAGTCCAGCTTTAAATAGCATATTTAATCTCTCTGCCCTTCTGCATTCTTTGACATGTCAGTAGGTTTCATGTGTGGAAAGAAGGGGAAAAATATATGGAAGTAATATTTATGAAAACCCCATAAATGCACATTTTCTGCCAAATTAGAGAAGCTATCTGAGGATAGTAACTTGTCACATTGTGGGCAGAATAGTCTCCTGTACTTCTGTTCACTGTTTTGTGCAGCAGGTAGTTTGAAACAATTAACAGATATAAGCCCTACAACAAAGTGATGCCATTTTGGCATGTCAATGTCTATTAACAGCAAGCACAATATTTCACATCAATTTGCACATTTTCTCTTTCAGATAAGAGTAATAATTGAAGTCTTTCATTCTTTATATAAGGATATAAGCATCAGAGATCTTTAGTCTTGGGAGTTAATTTCTAAGTGTTCCTATACTACCTTTATCTTCAAATGATTTTTTAATTATTATTCTCTGCTGAAATTGCAGACTGGTTGAATTACTGGCTAGATATTTCCAAACGTATTCCATTTACATTGACTAGAAAGCTATTTTATCCAGCCTGTAAAATGTGTAGGTTTTTGTAGCTGCTTCCCATTGTGGTAAGTCACACACCCTTATCTTCACCAAAACACATGTGAATGCTCCCTTGCTTTCTCTAGGTGAGACCAAAAGGCAAAAGCTTCAACTTGTTAGGGCTGGATCCACATCCCCTATGTACCCACAAGGCCTGCAGCAATCACCAGGAGTTTAGCATGCTTGTGAAGGTCAGGAGTTGAGCTTCTGTAGGCCAAGTTCTTCTTTGGGTTATAATGATGTCTCATGTCAGTACTGAACTGAACATTTTAAAACACTGTAACCAAGAGTATGTCATGCACCTAAATCTCTTTCACGCTTTTGCCTGTAATTTATCTGTAGGGCAAAATAAAGTACTTGGGAGTCACTTTTTTAAGGGAAACCTGTGCCATTTCAGTGCTTTGAGGAGTCTGAACACATTAGTAAAGTAGCATGAATCATTTTCATTGGATTCCTGCTTGTAGCAGAAACAATGCATTTTCTTTACATCAGCAAGTCCAGATTCTGTATGTGTTCTGCCCAGGCAGGAGGACTATTTAGCCATAATGTTCTTTCAAGTTAAGAGTTTTGTATTACAATGAAAATCAACATTTTTTAATTTGTGATAAACCTGTATTATAATGCCTTATTTATTTTTAATCTTGTACAGTGTTACAAAACAACAGAAAACATAGGCCTTTCATGTATTATTCACTTTAAAAGATGTATTGTACTATGAAATTTTGTAAATAGTTTTAGCTTGGACAGGTAATTGCATGTACACTTGTATAAAAAGAGGCAAAAAGGCACACTTTTAACAAAAATTAATGACTTTTGTAAGAGACATTTTACATGTGCATGGAGATTATATATCCTTTGAAAATGGATGTCCTTTTGGTTTTCCTTGCAATCTACTGCATGCTATTCATGCCTGACTTCAGTAAAACAAAACGAACTAGTAAGTTTTCCTAAATGTTTTTAACATATCACTTCTGGCACAGTTAATCCACTAGTTGCATGTGCATTCAGCAAATCAAAATGCAAACAGCAAATAAAGAAGAAAAATAACTTAGTGATTGTGATCTGCCAACCTCAGTGTTCCAAGGTCCATAAAACGGTATATAAAAAGTGTTATCAACATCTAAGATGTCTTCATAAGGTACCTTCTGGTCACTAGAAGCAATAAACTACTTACTGTAATATAAAAAGCAAACAGATATTCTAGTTCATAATGGTATAATATCTGACATTCAATAGGTATTCTCTGATACTGCATTTTTTGTAGTATTTTCATCACGAAGGACCAAGTGTCAAATCTGTCCTTGCTGTATGCAGGTGCAACACTGTGGAAGGTAGGGGAGGTGAATTTGGCCCATTGATGTTACCCAGAGTATTCCTCTAATGTGGTAATAAGTTATTGTATGTGAAAAGTACATAATTGTTTTCCTGGATACATACATACATATATATATATATGTATGTATATTTTTTATATATATAAATTAATTTTGTTGCCTTATTTCTGTTAGCTTTTTTGACTCATTTTCCAGATAGTTTCTATTGCTAAGCAGAAAGTATTTAACAAAAGTACTAGGATTCATTGAATTTATCTGGCTTTGAGTCATCTGGATTCTGTGCTGATGCCATGCTTATAGTGATGCTTCCCTTAGGCATCACAGCCTAACCCTCAGCTTAGGCCCATGTCAGCTAGTGACATAGGAATAAGAAATCAGTATCCAATCCTCTATCTGATTTTTTCCATAATGCTGCTAAACAAAACCTTAAATTCTGGAGGTATTTTCCATGCCTCATTTTCAAATTGTCGTATCCGTTTCACTACAACTCAGGATTACTTCTCAAATTACTTATATAATTGCTGTATTATAAATGAGGAGTGTTGGAGGAGCATAACACTGATTCTGGTAGCAAAGGAGAAAGGGCATGGAGTATGAATACTTTCTGCTTTGGATAAGGACTTCCTGTATTTTACAATTTGAACTAGTTTTATAATAAGACTCAGAAATCTGTTAATTTGTTTGTTTAATCAGGTGACTGTAGGGTTAATTAAGCAGTACAGCTTCTGCAAGTACTTTTGTCATCCTAAATTAAGATGTATATTCATATAATATATCCCTGTTACCTGCATACAAAAATCACTACCTTGTACTGATGATTGGCTTCATTGCAGTAGTTAATGGCTTCCAACAGTCATAAACTAACTTCTCTCAAATTCAGTGGGTTTTATATCTCACTGTAGCATAATTGTTGTGAATAATGACAATCTGGACACTGCTTCTCTACCCTAACCGTACTTATGATTGGCTTTTTCCAGAACTCTGTGTAGACTATTTTTAGCTCTCTGTTACTTTTAATCCCAACTCTCACTGAGTTTTCAGGCCAAATCTAAATCATTAATAAATATATTAATGTAAATAAGTATAAAAAGTACATAAAAGGGAGGGGCTGCTGTTGCTCTTTAATTACTCGTTAAAATATCGCGCTGCTTAGGTGGCCTGATGTGACTTACAATCTGATTGGTGCAAAGACAAAAACAAGGAAAGAAGAAAAAAAAGAAGGACAAAGTTAGCAAGAGTACAAAATAACAAAAAAAGAAGCCTGTGAGATAGCAGTTGCTGAAAGAAAAATGTGAAAGGCCATTAGTCCTTTGGAAGTCAGTGGTAAAACATGGGATAGGTCTGAAGTATCTGAGCTGGCAGAGTACTCAGCGCGATTTGTATTACAACAAAAATAAGGCTTTAATGCCTGTTTTCTGATCATGAGGAAGCACTTTGAAATTTGAATTAGTATTGGTTAACATACATAACATATGTGCTGAAAGGACTTGTTTTTGCTTGTGCCTTACTGCATCCTGGAGGATCTGTTTCTTTATATTAGTATCCCCTTTTTATGCCTTCAGTGGCATCAGGCATGTCACACCTGCATAAAACTGAAGGAAGAAACAGTGCTGCAGCACTGTGAAGCTTTTTTACTAATTCGTTTCCTACGTTGGTTTACTATGAACACCTATGTGAATGCAAGGAGTGCTCCAATTATTTGTGGAGGGTGGCCATACACAGGTATATGTGGGTCCAAGCTAAAGAAGGGTAGATTTCCTAGAAAGCTCAGCAAACACAGTAAGCCCAATTGTGTAGAACATCTGTCCAGATAGCTTGGAGTTCCTTTGAAAAAGTTGGCTGCCCTCCTCTTTAGACAGGCTTATATGCAACATGTTGACTAAAAACATCCAGGACTGTCACATTTGCTAGATGTAGGTTACCCTGCTGCTAGTAAAACAGCTAACAGTTCTTGTTGTGGTCTAAAGTGGGCTTTAATTACTGTGGTTATGAGCACTATCTTGTCTTACTTTCAAGTGCCTGACCTTCTGATTTAATCCTAGACCTGTCAATAGTGGTATCAGTTATGAAAAATTTCAGCTGTCACATTGAATTTGCTTAGGTGATTTCTCATGTCTTTTGCTCCTTAGTGCACATGGGTACAAAGGTTTTCTGTTCTTAGACTTCAAATGCCATTCAGGCAATATATCAATTTTCAATGAAATGTAGATGAAAATTAATTACCTGGGCCATCACCAAATTGCTTCATGATAATCATATTTTTAATTGCTACAATAGAAATCCTTCCTTGCTTGGAATTCCTGCTTTTTTGTAGTAACATTACTGGGGTTCAATTAGGAAAAAAAAAAAAAGTAAAATGATTGCACTTGGACAAACCAAATGATGAGTTTCTTTTCAACATTCAAGCAGCTGGTCATTACATGGACGTAGTTTTGAAGAATGTTATAAGAAGAATGACAGCAATGCTTTTAGAGTTACTGTTCTAAAAGCCAGAATCCAAGAACAGTTACTATTTCTAGCACTAATAACTCAATACAGAAAGTCTTAGAGCAGTGGTATTATTTTCAGTGAAATTCTGACAGAGGTTAAAAATCTCTTCTTGAAGGTTCTTTTTC